AGTTACAAAATAGTACTCCCTCCGTCTCATATTATCTGTCATGATTACACGCCTCTTAAGAAAAATTAATTAGGAAGGGATTTTGTCTACTTTACCCGTATTCATGTATTAATATTTAATCTTTCTTCATTGGTGTTTAAACACAGTTAGGTGAATGTAGTCTTCAAGGATAATTATTAATAAGGGTAAAAAGGAAAAAAGATAATCAATTTTGTCTTAAAATCTTCTAAAATGACAAATAATTTGAGACAACTATTAAAACCACAATAGAAAATTTGAGACGGAGGGAGTATGTTACTACTATTTTACCGCTTAAAGACCAAATAAGCGACTGAGTTTTTTTTCGAGTCCATTACTTAAATGGTCACTCAACTATTTGAAATTATCTAGTAAAGTCACATTTTTTTCGTTTGTAACAGAAAAGTCACTTAACTATGCCTATAGCACTTAGAAGGTCACTCAACCAGATTTCTCAATTTTTTGATTGCTAAATACCCATTTTACCCTCTAAATTATCATATTTTTTTATAATATATTTCTATTAATATTATATTTTTTTCTCTTTTTAATCAATATTATAGACTTACCTATAGAACAAATAAATTTTATTTATAAAATAAAAATTTATTTTCTAGCATATATGATGTTGGAATAATGATATAATTGAGCATAATTTTCAAGAATATATAATGTATATTATAAAAATACCTTTATTTTAAATAATTAATTTTTTATAGTACGTGCTGGAATATATAATTCAAAACTTTTATTGTCTTTCATTCTCAAGTGTGTAAATAATTTTTTTTAGTTTTTGTTTCTAGTATCAAAATTATTATTCCGAACAAATTATTCTAATTAATTTTTTATTGTGATTAACATTTTATTATTCTGACATTATATATGCTTAAAGGCTATTTTTATTTTTTAATTATAAATAAAATTTATGTATTATATATGTATGTCCATAATATAAATTAAAAAGAGAAAATAATTATAATATTAAAAAAAATAAAAGAAGACAAAAGTTGATAATTCATATGATAAAATAGGTATTTGGCAATCAAAAGTTTGAGAAATCTAGTTGAGTGACCTTCTGAGTGCTACAGGCATAGTTTAGTGATTTTGCTGTTACAAACGAAAGAAAGATGACTATAGTAGGTAATTTCGTAAAGTTGAGTGACCATTTGAGTAATTAACTCGTTTTTTTGTAAAAATTACACGGGGCGCCCTATTTGCTCGCCCTCTCTTAACCTATACCCGTTTTTTAAAAAAGTTTTAACTTGTACCCACTTTTTAAACAACTTTAGGCCTATTTCTCATTCTCCTCCTTCGTTTTCTTCTCCTTCTCCTTCTCCTTCTTCGGGTGACAATGATTTTATATGGTGATTGTGAATATATTTTAATATTATTTATGATATTTTACAATGTCGAGCTATTATGACGCTTTATTTTTTTTATTATTGCTTAGGCTTTCTTCCTCTTCTTTTTCTTAATTGCAAAATAGGTACATAAATTTATTGGTATTTTGACAAATTGGTGATTAGAGTTTGTTCCTCATGATATTTGGAGGTTATGTTTCAAATTTGAGCTCATTTGGAGTAGATTTAGGTATTAAATCGTATATTGGATTGTTATAATTCGAAGAATAATTTTCTGTTTCTCGGCAATTTGCACTTCATACCTATTTGGCCTTAAGTGCATCTGAAGTGCAAATTTTCACTTCAGACTTATTGGCCTTAAGTGAATGAAAACGTTTGTTGCACTTCAGACTTTTTTGCCTTAAGTGCATGAAACTATTGGTTACACTTCAGACCTATTTGGCCTTAAGTGTATCTGAAGTGCAAATTTTCACTTCAGACTTATTGGCCTTAAGTTAATGAAAACGTTTGTTGCACTTCAAACTTTTTGGCATTAAGTGCATCTGAAGTGTAAATTTTCACTTAAGACTTATTGGCCTTAAGTGCATCTGAAGTGTAATTTTTCACTTCAGACTTATTAGCCTTAAGTGCATGAAATCATTGGTTGCACTTCAGACCTATTTGGCCTTAAGTGCATTTGAAGTGCAATTTTTTCGGGGAATTTGCAGCCGTACCCTATATTTGTGCCACCTTTTAACTTGTACCCTATTTTTAAAATTATTGATTTGGTAGCCATCTCACAAAAAATCCGTAATAATATGACAATTACACCCCTAACAAAAGATATAAAACGATCTCCTCCTCTCCTCTCGGCAACTTTATAAAAAAATCAGAAACTTGTTCAGATTCATTTCAGAATCACACTTGCATGAAGTTGTTTCACCTTGAAGCTAAAACTTCATGCTAATGTAGCATGAAGTTATTTCATGTTGAAGCTAAAACTTCATGCTAAAGCATGCTGAAGTTATTTATCCTGCAGTCTACAGTTTGTCATAAATTTTATCCGAAACTCCAGTCTAAACATGCTGAAGTTATTTAGTTTATTTGCTAAAATTTCAGACTAAATATGCTGAAGTTATTTAGTTCATTTGCTAAAACTTCAGACTAAACATGCTTAAGTTATTTAGTTATTTGCTAAAACTTTAGACTGAACATGCTTAAGTTATTTAGTTCATTTGCTAAAACTTCAGACTAAACATGCTTAAGTTATTTAGTTCATTTGCTGAAATTTCAGACTAAATATGCTTAAGTTATTTAGTTCATTTGCTAAAACTTTAGACTAAACATGCTTAAGTTATTTAGTTCATTTGCTAAAATTTCAGACTAAACATGCCTAATTTATTTAGTTCATTTGCTAAAATTTCAGACTAAACATGCTTAAGTTTTTTAGTTCATTTGCTAAAATTTTAGACTAAACATGCTTAAGTTTTTGTCTTGTTGTATGTAATTTTCTAATGAGTTTTTGCTAATGCATGCTGAAGTTATTTAGTTCATTTGATAAAATTTCAGATAAAACATGCTGAAGTTTTTTTAGTTCATTTGCTAAAACTTCAGACTAAACATGCTTAAGTTTTTGTTTTGCAGTATGTAATTTTCTAAAGAGTTTTTGCCTATGCATGCTGAAGTTATTTAGTTCATTTGCTAAAACTTCATACCAAAACATGCTGAAGTTTTGTAACGCAGTTTACAGTTTTGTCCTGAGTTTTATCTGAAACTTCAGTCTAAACAAGCTGAAGATTTTTAGTTTATTTGCTAAAACTTCAGCCTAAATATGCTTAAGTTTTTGTCCTGCAGTTTGTCAATAATCTTTTATTAAAGAAGGGCAAAATCATCTTTTTAAATACTTTTAACAAAAAAATAGGTACGGATGCAAACGGAAAAACAAAACGGGTATAAGTTAAAAAGGGGCGACCAAATAGGACGCTCCATGCAATTTTTATAATTTTTTCACTTCAAACTAATTTTTTTTAACTTTAGGCCCGATAAGTTTGAAGTTGATCGTTAAGTGGGTACGCTTGCAAACTTTTTTGCAAAGCGGGTGTAGATTCAATTGTATTTTTCCACATCCGTTTGATTTTCATTCCAGTCAATTAGCTATAAAAAATACATCTGTACCCTCCTTTGAATCAATAGAGTTAATGAATAGCTTTCTGTATACTTTCATTAATTCGAGAAGAAAATACAAATATTAACTATTTATTTTAGATGGAGATTTATAATTCATGGTAAGTATATAAACATACATGTTAACCCCTATAAAAAGAGGCCGTTGCCCCCTCTCCACTAAAATTAGTACTATGTGCTATCGTTATGCTAAAACATAAAAGAGAGTTATGAAAGTTATGATATATCGGTTTGTTTTTTCAAAATCATTATTATGTCTGAAATTGAAGTATACCATTTTAAATTTGTTGGAAAATAATTTTAAATATATTTATCATTTATGTGGCAATAAAGTAAAGTGTATCGAACGACGATAGGTAGAATTTTACTATTAATGACGATACATGAGGAGCATTGTCTAGAAGAAGTATGTGAGATGTGGTCAAATAATATTATGTCTTGAGATATTCTAACTTCAATGAACGAAAATAATTAATTGTATACTTAATTTCTATCTTATATCACGTCAAATCTATAGTTGTGAAATATATATTATGGTTAAAATTTATAGTATTTTTTACATAAATTTTGTATTAATTGACATGAGACCATATGCAACGCAGATGATCAAAAACTAATTATTAATAATGTCTAACTGGAGCTGCTTATATAGGAGTTAAATTACATTATAATATATAATCATTCTTTACACTTAATAAGGTAAGCAATATTGTTTTCGAGCAATAATTATAAGGTAAGCAATAAAATGCACAATATTTTTCCAAGCTTGGAAGAAATTAGTCCTCTGAATTGGTTAGCATCCAAGTTGTAGAGCTTCAGTTTTCCCAACATTCCAATCTCCTTTAGTACTGTATCCATCACCATATTTTCTTTTGAAGTCCTACATATCAACAATATAATATATAATATTAAAATCTAAAATAAAATTCCAAAGATAGAAGAAGCTAGTGAGTCATCTAAAGTATTCTAGAGAACTCAAAACACTAAGGAAAAGACAATTGGCTTTAGAAGTGGGAAAAAAACTATTTCCGCTATTCCGGATTCTTATTGAGCGTAGTGAAATCAAGATCCCATAATTTTTCTACCTTTGCGTAGTTTAGCCCCTTTTCTAATTGAAAGAAGAAAGCTATTGAGCCAATCATTCAATAACGAAAACAAGTAAAGAAAAAAAAATTGTGAACAAGAAGGGAATAAGCTCTCAAGCCTCGGAGGAGAGCAATCTCTTGTGGGAGAAAGGCAATTACCTGGCAAAATCTGACTAAGTTTGTCGAATTCAAATCTCACACACATATAATTTCTCATTTTAATGTCATACATCTAGCATTAGTGAATGTGGAACTAAACAACCTTGTTATTGTGACATGCATTATCTGGATAATTTCAAGAACTGTAATTTCTAATAAAAATTGTTACCTCATAGGAATGATTGAGAGAGAATAAGGCCATCAATTTTCCTTGTTACTTCGAGGTAAAGACATCGTCGACTTCCTCATAATCGACCTTAACCTTGTTATTGTAAAATGCATTATCTTGATAATTAGGTAGAGAAGCAGGATCAAGTTCAAAATATTCTCTAATATTTTGTGTCAATTTAAAAGAGGGAACTTTATGAGAAAATGTGTATAACTCATTTGCTGGTATCACAAATGACTCAGTTCCACAGTTTCTCCTTTTAAAAATGCTCATAAATCCACTGACTCTTTCCAGATAATGTACCTTTACACCAACATCACCAACAAAATCAAACAATACCTCCACAATCTCATATTTAAACGGTAGACAGTTTCTGTAAACAGCCCAAATCTCCCCTTTCATAGGATATATCAGATAATAACCCTGCATTTCCTTTTTGCATATCACTTGATGAGAGAATATATAACGATTTGAAATGTCTACAGAACTCCCCTGTCTAAATCTACCACAACTAACTTGTAAGTCATGATTTATCCAATCAACAGCCTCTAACCAGACCATTTGTAACTTAAATGTAGGAGTAAATACCTTTTTAACTTGTGCATAGAGTCTAGGCATACCATCTAAATTGTCATAACATGCCCAAATTTGGTCGATGTCAAAATTTCCTTCTTCTTTATCCTTATCAAAATCATGAAATTCTGCGCGAGGACAATGTACTTCTAGACTTATGACACCCTTATCGTCGTCTGTGTCTGACCTGATATCCCTCTCGTGTATACTTTGGTTTTGTCTCACTGTCATATTAGCACTAACCATACCAAAATCAGATGATTTTTCTGCTTTTGGCTTTTTCAAGGGATTCTCAGAACAATAAGGCCTACTTGAACTGCTGCATCCTACATTGAACTCCATCATTGTGGCTCTCTCTCTTTTGATAGTTTTGTTCAAGCCAAGTTCTTTTGGTTTATGTTCACTGAAAAGAAGAGCAGAATCAACTTTTTCTCTTAGTTTAAGTCCATTATCTTGTTGCTTCAATTTCTTCTCTTTTAGACCAATCTCCTTAAGCCTTTTCTCAAATGTTTGTTGCTCATATCTCACTTTGGCAAAAATACCTCGAATCAAATTCTCTTTCTCGTTCAGTTTCTCCTCTCTGAGATGAAGTTGTTGGACTGCCTCCTCTTGAACGACACTGAATTTGTTCTCTCTTAGTTTCAAGTCTTCAACATATCCTAAAATCTCACTTTCTTTATCCTCAACTTGTTTGCGCTTCAAGTTTAGTGATTCTCTGATTAATTCAAGTTCCTTTGAACTTTCATGTATTGATTCTTGAATAGAACACAGATGCTTCTCCCTGGATTTGAGCTCGACAAAGCATTCTTGAAAACATGTTTGGCTCAAATCCAAGTGTTGTTCAAAATATTTCCACTCTAACAACAATGTTAAAAGTGCTTTTCTGAGGCCACCTTTCTTGGATTCAATCACTTCTAAAGCATCAGAAATCCTATTCAACAGAACCATCTTTAATCTAATGAATTATCAAATTCTTTTCTTTTTATCTGAGAATTAAAACTAAGTGAAGAAGAGAGGAAGTAGAGTTGATGCTTGTGTTTAGTACTTGTGAAGTACTAAGTCATCTTAGCCCTTCAATTACCTTTTTCATCCAATCAGATCAAACATAATAAGAACTGCATGTCCTAAGAGTTCAGTTTCAAAATATTTTGGAACTACTCAACAGTACATTCTTAACCTATGTCCTTGTCATTTTCTCTTACCTTTTCTTGATGTTATAAGTGGTTACCTATTATTTTAGTTTGCGCGACATGATCAACATCAAATACAAATAATAGTAAATCAGTAATGAATACAAATCAGGTTTGTTTAAAACATTTTATTAGGAACAATAGTGATTGTATTTTCTGTCGGTTAAGATCTTCTAATATGCAGGGTACGATTTTAGAGAAATTGGATGCTTGACAAGTATGCAACAAAGGCAATACTTCTTACCAGAATACTTTTTCTACACTACATAATGCTCTTTCATTTGGAACTCTGAAATTGAATAAACGGAAAAGGTCCATATATGCTAGTGAACTATACGAAATAGTACATATTTGCCCGTCGTTGAAAGGTGGGCTCACATATGACCTAGCCGTGTATAAGGTGGCTCACATATGCCCTTTTTTAAACGGACCTCACTAATAAAATATTTAGCACCAGATTTTGACACGTGTCACAATCTGGTGCGTTCCATTTATACCCTAATTTAAATAATAAAACAACCAGACCCATCACCCTTATTTTATTAAACCGACCCGACCTAGTACCCTACAATAAACCCCAATCCTATTATATTACCCACTCTCTCACCTCTGCTTTCTTCACCCAAATTCTCCTCTCACCATAGCTGATGGGTCAATACAAAGTGAGCTCATTATTTGAAAAGTGTGCTCATTTAAACTGGTTTTTAGCTACAGAATGGTTTAAACCCCTGATTGATTGTTTATCGGGACTTAAAAAATCCAGCTTTCCTATTGGAGGTCAACAACAGGAAATTGATATTTTCTTTGCAATTCTTTTTTGTTTTCCAGTGATTTTTACCATTGGCGTGTATATCATCAATGACAGAAGGCAGTAAATTCTGTTTTCTCTTGGATTCCACTTTCATGTTGTTGGTTGTTATCGTTAAAGTGACGTTGGCTCAAAATTTTGCACCTGGTGATGATATTTTGTTGAACTTCAGGTCATGAAGGTCTTGAAGACGCCGATGGTCGAAAATGGGGTTCGGATGTTGGGTCAACATAGTTGAAGGGTAGCAAGTCGTGGAGTTATATAACAGGATTGGGGTTTATTGTAGGGTACTGGGTCGGGTCGGTTTAATAAAATGAGGGTGATGGGTCGTGTTGATTTATTATTTAAATTATGGTATAAATAGAATGCACCAGATTGTGACACGTGTCAAAATTTGGTACTAAACATTTTATTAGTGACGTCCTTCTAAAAAATGGCATATGTGAGCCAATTTATATACGGCAAGGGCATATGTGAGCCCACCTTTTAACGACGGGCAAATGTGTACTATTTCGTATAGATCAATGGCATATATGAACTTTTTCCGTTGAATAAATTATCAGTTTACTTATACATAAAACACTAGAAATCAACTGAGTTGAATTCAAATAAAATAGAATTTAGAGCACAAAGAGAGATAGATAGTTCTATATTGCGAGTTAAATTCACATTAAATAGAAATTAGCAAGGAAGACCGCAGAGAGAAGAAAGAGGAGCAAACTCGACTTGCTGTGGGTGCAGGAAGAGGAAGCCACATCCTCAATTTAAATTTAAATGTCAGAAAAAGAATTATCTGGATTTTAAAAGAAAAAGGAAGAGAAATTAAATATAAAATTCCTACACATTAAGAATTTTTACAGATAACATTGACAAGAAAAAGGGGCAAGTCCGAAATTTAAACTTAATGAATTCAACCTCTAAATTCCTACCACTATACTCATTACCCTTCTAAAACTGTAAGTTTAGAATTTAATATTTACCAGAATATTAGTGATCTTTTTACATATACATCTATGCTCCAACCATCTCTGATACGAAGGGTGGAGGATAAAAAACTGAACTAGGGAGATGTCCAACGAGGAAATGACAATAAAATATAAGTTAAGCTGCACATTAAAACTTTCTGAGAGCCACATATATTTACATGTCAATGCCAGAAATCTACATCTAGAAACAAGTATTCACAAATGGCTCAAGTCACGTAAGCTTATGTTTCTCATTTTCCTTTTAGGATGGAAATCAGTCTGATACTAGAGTTCAACATCCCGGATGTGGAGAAATGCCTCGGTTCACATCAAATTCTGAAACCAGTGTACTGTATTCTCCAGAACACGGTTCATAAATGATCCCACCAATCAAACGGAGGATACTTTGAGCATAGCACATGGTAAGTATACCTTCAACACTCCTTGTTTGATCTTTGGAATGGAAATTTTTTTTGCTTTTACTGTTGGTGTTGAAGTAACTCCAAAATTGGTTAGGAGATCAGCATCATTCACCATTTCAGAGTTTTCCGGGCTTTTTGAGAGAAGCTCTTCACAGTGACTTTGTCTGCAAATGTTAACGGGAATTCCTCGTCAGCCTCCTCTCTTTGATCACACCAGGCCCCTATATTACTATTATCTTTTGACTTTCCCTCCAAAGGTTCACAGGACGAGTAGGAATCCTCTGGTATATCCCGATACAAGTGTTTCAGAATAAAAAGACCTGTATCATTATCTCTCCAGTAGTTCCTGAAAAAAAAGTAAATCATTTGAAAAATATCAATTCACAATAGAACAAGGGGAAAATCTTTTCTATCAAAAGCTGCGGTAAAGACAAGATTCATTAAACAAAATTACAATGGGTCAGCAAGCATTTTTGACCTGACAATGCCTCACCAACAAAACCATATGCAACATAGTAAAAATGAACCATAGGAGGGCAGGGTTCAAATCCAAGCAGAGGCAAATAACCCTAGGTGATATTCCCTCCTATCCATCTACCCTTGGTAGAGAATGATATACTTTTTCTGGTGGGAGGTTGCAGGTACCCGATGGATTAGTTGAAGTACGCATAAATTGCTTGAACACCACCGTTATCCAAAAAATAAAGAGTAAAAACTATACCATACCGTTTGAAGCAGCAAAATCTAAACTAAAAAAGCTTATTCAAGGCGAAATTGCTCTACCTACCCTCTCTATGGTCAAGTTTGATTCAGCTTTCTTAAAAGCCTTTCTGTAACGACCCGGCCGGTCGTTTTGAGAATTTAAGTCTCGTTCGGCGGCATAAGGTCTTGAGCAGTTTTGTATTATGTGTATTGACTTGCGTGCGTGGTCGAGTTCAGTTATCGAATGATTCGGAGTCAAATCGGAAGAAGGATTCTAGTTTTTGAAGCTTAAGCGGTAAGAGTTGGACCGGAATTTGACTTTTGTGTAAACGGCTCAGGAATGGGTTTTGAATGATTTCAACAGCTTCGTATGGTAATTTTGGACTTAGACAGGCGTTCGGATTTGGATTTGGAGGTCCGTAGGGTGATTTGAATCATTTCGGCGAAAGTTGGAAAAGTTGAAGTTTGGAAGGTGGAGAGGTTTGACCAATAGTTGACTTTGGTGATATTGGGGTCGGAATGCGATTCCGAGAGTTGGAACAACTCCGTTATGTCATTTAGGACTTGCCTACAAAATTTGACGTCATTCCAGGTTGATTTGATAGGTTTCGATACGAGTTTTAGAAGTTGGAAGATTTGAAAATTCATAAGTTCGATTATGGTGCGATTCGTAGTTTCGACGTTGTTTGATGTGATTTGAGACCTCAAACGGGTCTGTGTAAAGGTATGGAACTTGTTGGTATGCTTGGATGGGGTCCCGGGGGCCCCGAGTGTGTTTCGGACGAGTTTCGGATGGTTTTCATAGTTTTGGTCAGGTCTGGTTCTGGTATCTCGCACCTGCGACATCTTGGAGCGCTGGTGCGGCTCCACTTCTGCGTGAGCCTGATCGCTTGTGCGATCATAGAGGCCTGGGAGCTAGCTCGCTACTGCGGATGCTGGCACGCAGGTGCGAAGCCGCTTCTGCGGTTGAGTGATCGCATCTGCGAAGGAGTTCGCTTCTGCGCTCATGTTATCGCTTCTGCAGCGCCGCTGGTGCGGCTATATTGTCCGCAAATGTGGACCTAGGTCTGGTAAGTCAAGTTCGCAGATGCGAACGTCTGCCCGCAAATGTGATAGCGCAGATGCGCTTATTTGTCCGCATATGCGGAAGTCCAGGGCAGAGAGTTTATATTCGAGGGTTTTGCCATTTTCTCCATATTTTGAGTTTTAGACCTCGGTTTTGGGAAATTCTTTGTGGGTTTTTCAAGCAAATCGATTGGGTAAGTGTTATTCACCTAGAATTTATTATATTCCATGATTTTATTTTTATTTTTATCATTTAATTTGTGTTTTGAGTTTAGGAAAATTGAGGTTTTTGAAGAAATTTGATGGACGAATTGGTATCGAAATTTGATAATTTTAGTATGGTTGAACTCGTATCAGAATGGGTGATCGGGTTTTGTGAGATTTGTCGGGTTCCGAGGTGTGGGCCCGGGGGTCGACTTTTGGGTCGATTTTTAGATTTTGATAAAGATTGAGGCTTTATGATCCGGAATAGTTTCTTATGAGTTTTATTTGTGCTTTGAAGTTATTTTGGTTAGATTTGAGCCATTCGGAGGCCATTTGACCCGAGAAGTTCATTTTTGAGTATCGGTCTCTCTTCTGAGGTAAGTATCTTGCCTAACCTTGTGTGGGGGAACTACCCCTTAGGATTTGAGTCTTCTATGCTAATTGTAGTCCATGTACGTGAGGTGACAAGTACGTGCTCGGACCTATTTGTGAAAAATTGGCCCTTTAGGGTTCTTAGGTCCTCGTGTTCACTGATTATGCATTTGTTATGTTATGAATACGTCTCTTAATTACTAGTTTCACCTCTACCTGCTTTAATTAGAATTAATTGCTTCATGATCCACTCTTGTTGCTTATTTGATTCATCCGTGCCTTAACTGAAATTTTTATCTCTTCTATTGCCATGTTATCCTTTCCTAACTGCTTATCTTTATTTGAAATAATTTCGGAGGTTGCTGACCCCCAAGGAAACGGTGAGACCCTTTCGGAGGTTAAAACTCATAGTGCTAGCAATGCTATGGTCTTGTATTCCTCTGGTAGTAGCAAGGAAAGGGCACATATAGA